ACTGTAATGCGCATTCTTTCGGGCCACTCTAGGCACGTACTGAGGCCCTCCAAGAGTCCCTGCTGGTTCTGTAGGAATCTGAAATATTATCATTTGGATCTCCACTGTGCTCACGTTTACATAGAGGCCCACAGAGCGCAGCGGGAGGCCCAGAGCGCATCAGGCCCGCAATGAGCTCTGGGAGCGTCCTGTGTTCTCCCCACCACGCAAGCGCAAGAACATACCAGCCTCACCGAAGGATGTTCCTGAGGAAGTGGTTGAAATGATTCGTTGTATTAAACCCTGGCCTGAGCACATACAGCCCCCTTTTTAGTATTCTGCATGACCAAAGGGAAGTGCGCAAAGTGCGTCCGTTCCATGCCTAAGTGGGATGGGCGCCACCTAGAAGGACTGGTGGAAACTGGTTATTCAGCCTTGGGTACCGGGCGTTTTCTTGAAAATAAACAAGGCAAGCCTGTTCTTCAAGGAAAACAACTGATAGTATGTGTTATTGATGATACAATTCAAGCTTTCGTGCAAAAACAGAATTTAAAAAACCTTTTATCTACCACCATGAGGTCAATAACTTCTCCCAACTTTAAGACTTTTCTGCTAAGACAGATGACGGTATCAACAAAAGAGTTTTGTTTTGTTTTGTCTCGTTTTGTTTTTAAGTATTGATGAATGAACTACGTCAATATTTGGAAGACTCACATAACTTGATGAGTAAGTATTTTCCCAAATGCCTAAGGAATGATGTTACAAAACAAGGACGGATGGTCATTACAGAGCAGGATGGACCAGAGGATTCTAGAAGTAAAAGTTCTTGACACGGTTCAGATTCCATATCATAGCTAACCTTTAAGTAACTATTACTTTTCAAGTTTTGGTGTTGGATTGAAGAATACCCACAGTTCTTTGGAAAGGTTATTAAAACGTTCTTATCCTTTACAAATACATGCCAGTGTGAGGCTAAATTTTCTGATCTACTTTACAACTAAAACCATACCCCATGCAGACGGAGCACAGCTCATCTGAGAGACAAGCCGCCTTCTCTAAAGCCAGAGATTAGCAAAAATGTAAAATAATGTCACTCTTTTTGCTAAAATTGTATGGGGCCAGCTGGTGGCATGGTGGGTAAGGCAGGTAGATCCTACATGGCCAACTGCGTGGTTCAAGTCCTGCACGTGGCAGCTTGGAAAATGTACAAGGCATGTGTGCATGCATGCCCAAGATCCAGAGAGAAGGGACTGTGGTGTGACCATCCCCCTGGAGGGTGCTTTTTCACTTTCTCTCTCCTCTCCTCTTATTGGCGAATTCATACACTCTCTAGGTAGCAAATTTAAAAACAAAATATTTTGGAAAACATTCTTCACACGACTGTTGTTTACATCAACATATAATAGGTATATTGTTATTTTGAGATAAGTAGATACTTTTCAATTGCTTGAGGTTTAATTTCTAGTAAGATATTCTAATAAATTCTTTTTTAAAATAATTATTTAGTTTTAATTTTATTTAGTCATTCATTTATTTTAATTTGACAAGAGAGAGGTAGAGAGAGAGAGAGAAGGAAAGTGAGAAAGCAAGCCAGGTCTGGGACTCGAACCGTGGTGGGCCATGTGGGAAAGTCCAGCACTTTACCAACCATACCACCTGCTGGTCCCTATTCTCATAAATTCTTATTGGTGGTCTTAGAAACCATACAAACAAAAGATCTTTGGTGCCTTTGTAATTTTTATGGAAGCTAAGGAGTCCTGAGACCTTAGTTTGGGAGCTGCTGCCAAAGGTGACCACACTAAGAAGTGGAGCTACTTGGCTGAAGAGTGGACATTTCCTCAGCATGAGGACATAATGTCGGGTCACCCCTCAAAATGCCTGCATTGGTGTGCTCTCCCAGTAATGTATATGCTTCCTTCTTGACATGAGTCCCAGTCTGTGGCACTGTCAGACTGCACGCCAGTCTCCTGAGCATGAAGCAGCATGCACATGTTCTTTCGGCATTTTCCCAACTCCCCACGAGGCTAAGCCTTCTCACCTGGATGGGTCTCACACCTTTGGCCCATTCTGTTTTCATAACTTAAACACTATTGCATCTATTTAAAAAAAAAAAAGTGATGTTCAGAAGATAGCTGGGGGACTAGCAGTTAGTGTAATGGCTATGTCGCTGAACTCCCATGTAGTCAACCGCGGTTCAAGTCCCGGACTCGGTGGCTTAAACTCACGCTGGGGGCATGTGCGTGCATGCCCAAGATCCCGAGAGGAGAATGGAGGGATTGCACCATGGCCACCCCCCCAGGGGGTTATTTCTTGCTTTCTGTCTCTGTCTCTCTGGCGAGTGCATGCGCCTTATGGCAAAAACTTCTCAAAAAAAAAAATAGCTGAAATTATGTTAATAAAATGACATTTTATTTTATTTTGGAACTTTTAGGCATATGCTCAATTTCCCCACATGCTCAGACTTTTCAGTAAAACAGCATATACATTCTATGCCTTTCTACTAAATCCATTCCTAGATATTCTACTGTTTTTAATCACAACTCTGAATGGAGTATTTCTTTGCTCTTATTTTTAACTGATTTAAATTGCTTTAAAGAGCTCTTGATCCTTGGTATGTTTGTTTTTCTGAGTATACAAAAAAATATTACCTGAAAATAAAGGTCATTTTCATTTCTTCATTTCATTCAAAGAAAGGCAAAACAACATTAAATAATAAAATTAAGTAACGGTGAAAGCAGGACCAGCAAGTGGCACAGCAGTTATGGTGCCAGACTCCTACATGGCTGACCACGGTTTGATCCCAGACCCAGTAGCCTGAAGATCACACTGGGTGGGCATATGCATGCATGCATGCCTAAAATCCCAGGAGAAAAATGGAAGAGAAGGGCCTGCAGCATGGCCATCCCCCTGGGGTGAGTGATTTCTCACTTTCCCCCCTCTCTCTATCTCTTTCTCTGTCTCTCTTTGACAAGCATACACTCACTATAGCGAAAAAAAAAAAAAAAAAAAAAAAAAGAACGATAAAAGCAAGCACAGCTGCCTCGCTTCTAATTTTAGTTTTCAGTGTTAACATGTTGTTTTTGTTGAATCTTATCAAATACATTAGCATTTACTGATATAGTCATTTTTCCCTCTTGGACCAACTACTACCGAAGTTGGAAGGCTGCGGACGATGTACTTTTTATGACAGATGCCAACATGTGTTTCTACAGCTGAGCTTTGCCAGGCCTGAAATGATCTTGCTCCAGCCCGTGGGAGAGGGTGGGCTGGAGCAGCTGAGGCGGTGGGAAGAGTCTGAATCACCGACTCCGATATGAGAGAGTAGGCAGAGGAGACAGGCAAGGACGTCAACACACAGGTGCAGAAATGCTGGACTGCACGTGGTAGCAGTCACTGAAATACGGACACGTCGTGACCGTGACTCTAGGAATGCAAAAGTGAAGGCACTGCATTCTTTAGAACCTCAATCTGTTACCTCATGCAGGAGTTTCGGGCTTAGGCATCCTGCCAAGGTCACAGGCACAGCTGGGATTCGGCCTCCAGCACCCGCTCACACACCATCTGCACTCCAAGTCTTGAAGCTGACCTCCTGCTGGGAAGCTCAGGAACCTCACACTGGCCTGGCCCTGTGTAAATCACTAGCCAGACTCAGAGGTCAGCTGCCAGAGACAGGTGCACATGGCCAGGTCATTGTGTGCCCACAGTTGGGTCCCCAACATTTAGGGCAGCCTGGGTGCCTGGCAGGAACCTGATGTTTGTTAAACAAATGAATTCCTTCAATGGCATTTCATCTAAGGGGCAGATGGGTTCCTTAGCTAAAAATTGCCAGGCTGAGCTCCCAGAACTCAGGTCTCCAGCACCAGATGTCTGCAAGTCTTCCATTTTCCCAGGGTCTCCTCAATTTCACTGGCTAGCATGAGCTCACTGTGTGCATCACTTCCCAACTACAGAAGTTACTAACTTCTTTACCTGGCCCCTGGCTGTTGACCACAGAGGCTGGCTAGTGGCTTGCATGTGGCCACTATGAGATTACTGTTTTCCAACAGCAGGAGTAACTCCGAGCCTTCAGGAACGAGTGGTGCTGAAGGGTGAACCCTAACTGTGCCTGTGGCCCTGGCAGGATGCTTAAGCCCAAAGCTCTTGCAAGAGGTAATAGCAACTTCATGCTAGCAGCTTGTAATTGGCTTTAGTAGGAGAATTTACACCACTGACATTGGCACTATCTCAGCACTGGAGAACCACTTGTAAAAACACTCACCAGTGACACATGCTGCTTTCAGTCCTAAAGCAAAATGCATTGAGTCCACAGCACTCAGACACTAGGGAGATGTCTGAGGGGGCTGAGGACAACTGGAAGCTCTCAGAAACCTGAGAGCAAAGCGAATCTTGCTTGCCTGGCTCTGTCTTCAGAGCTCCACAGAACACTCCAGCTTTTGCCTCCCCATAGGCAGGTCTAGTGCTGGCCTCCACACCCATGGGTGACCACAGTCTGCCCCAACACTTGGCAAAGCCCCTGGGTGCTTCTGACCCCAGAGCCCAGTAGAGAGTCAGGTGTGCTGGTAGTCTTACCCCAGGATGGCTGGGAGGATTCCTGCTCCTGCTCCAGCAGTCTGCTCACCAAGCAGACAGAGGAAGCTTCTCTAAGCCGTTAAGTCACACTGTGTCACTTGCCTGCTGACCCCTCAGCCACAGAACTGGTTCTACCTGGGCAGCAACTTGTTTAGTTTCAGGGAATGAATCAGACACACCTGGTCCCAACCTCCTTTGCAGACAGGATGACCAAAGGCTCAAGTTCAGTACAGGGAGTTCAATGGGGGAGCTTCTGGAAAGAATTTTCCAAGTGGCGAAGGGACAGGAAGTGAGGTACGCCTACAGCTGAGGCAACCCCTATCCCCACCTCCTCTCCTTCCCTGTGGGTGTAGACCCAGAGTTGCAAATGCCAAAATAAACCCAGTAAGTGAGGACACCACCAAAGCTCCTCCCTGTGGGGCCACAGAGCCCTCTGGGGCCTGGCCTCAGGCAACGCAGGCTCTTTGCAGCTCTCTGGGTCTTCCTCAGGCTTCCTCCTGCCTCTAGGTGTTCGCACCACCCATTCCCTGCGTGGCCTGCTCTTCTCTGCTCCATGTGTGTCTGGATCTTACTCGTTTGTCTCCCGTCCACTGCAGCGTAAGTGCCACAAGGCCAGGGTCTTTGTTCCCTTCACCAATGTGTCTCCAGAGTCTGGGAAATGAAATGGGCAGTGCTCGTGACCAGGTGTTATTACTTTTATTAGTGTTAGAACTAAGGAGGCGGTGGAAATACCCAAGGTTTCCAGACGGATGAATAAAAGGGCCACCGGAGGGCAGCCCGGGCTCTGTGAGGTGTGTGTGGAGTGTCTGAGGCTCTTGGAGGGAAAGTGCAGCAGATTCCAGTGAGGGAGGACGTGACCATCCCCGCTTCAGGAGGGCGCTCACCATGGAGCCAGCCTGCCCCGGACCCATTTCCATTTGCTTTTTTTCCAGGACAGAACAATCCAGTGCATCCCCTCCAAGCCCTCGAAAGTGACTCTGTCCTCAGGCAGTAATGAAAAAGTTCACGTTTGATATCAAAAGCCATTTCAAGTATTCGACAGTGACTATACTGGAGAGCAGATTCCAGGCCATCTTAGTAGGAGGGACCCTGGGAGTCCATGGCCTGTGTCTAAGGAAGCACGTTAATGCTGGAGACTGGGATCTCACAGTTCCCTAAGGCCTACGGGGTCCTGGGAAAGCCCCCCAGGAGGGACCTCCTGACCCAGGAGCAGCCCCCTAGAGGCCAGGTTGAAGGCCATCCCCTTTTGGGACCCTGCCTGGGCTTGGGACCCTGTGCCCAGCTGGCCCGAGCGGGCCTACGTCGTACCGCTGGCCGCAAGCCTTGGCCGCCTGCCTGCCAGCCTAGACGTTGGACTTGGCGATGATCTTCTCGAGCAAGCTCATCATGCGCTCCTGCAGCTGCAGGCTCTGCACCTGCAGGATGTTCTGCTGGTCCAGCACGCGGCGCACCTCGCGGCAGGTCTCCTCCATGGCGCGGCTCAGCTTGCGCTGCTCCTCCAGCATGGCCTCCAGCAGCCGCAGCTTCTTCTTCTGGAAGTGGCAGCTCTGCACCTTACGCTTCTTCACGGGCCGCTCCTCGGACCTGGAAGGACAGCACTGGCTGGGCATGTGCTGGCCACAGAATCTGGCCCCACCAAACCCTCCCAGCCACCCTATAGGACAAATGGGAAACCAAGGCCCTGAGGAATCAAGTCACTTGTTCAGGGTCTCACAGGCCATGTGTAGAGGAGGTGCTGCAAGCCACCACCCATGACAGAGAGGATACAGGGGCCACAGGCTCTGCTGTCCGGGGGACCAGCTGGCAATCCCCATGACTGGGTCATAGGACAACCACCTGTGGTCTGCAGATGTGGAGTGGACTGGGTGATAGAGGGTACAGCCTGCCATGAGAGCACCCTTAAACCCACTGAGCTGGGCAGACAGAGGGCAAAGCCCCAGGCAGAGAGGCCATCCCCAGGGAGATATGGACACTGGAGTGGAGGTTGCTAAACAGTGTGTGGAGCTCAGCGCTACAGGAAGGCCGAGACCAGCAGTCCCAGTGACCTTGGGCAGATGAGGAAACTGAGATTCCCCTCATGGCCCAGCAGCCAGGAGCTGGAGCCAGCATGCTTCTAGGTGGGAGGGAAGAGCTGCACCTCGAGGGTGTGGGGCCTCTAAGAGGCTTGAGCCCTGTCTCCAGTGTCTAAAACCTCTGGAAGTAGCAGGAGATTACAGTGGCCTGGCCCTGCTGCCCACCCGTGGCACTCAGCTGTGGGGGTGGCAGCATCCCTGTTCTAATCAGCCCCTGCTCAAGGACAGGGGGCTGCCAGTCCTACCCACCAGACTCTAAAGCCCTGCCTGGGGCCTCCTGTCCCCTGGCCCACACTCTGTGCTCTGAATAGATCTTTGGGCCGGAGTAGAAAGAGGGTCCCCATGTCCCAGCCCAGTGACGCACCCCAGGTAACTGTTGGGTCTGGGAACTGGGCTCGATCCACAGGAACAATAAACCTCAGGCCTCCCTGCTAATTCTGGCTGTCAGCGAAGGCGTTTTCATCTGGGCCTTCAATGAGAATTCTCTCCAGGGAAGAGGTGCTGGGCAAACTAAGCAGCAGCCCTGGTGTCTGAGAGGTCAGGCTGGAGGGCTCCTTGGAGGTACCTTCCCACCCCTGCTCCCCAAACAGACCTGAAGACCAGGGCGCAGGGAAAAGGCTAAGACTCAAACCCACATTCTCTCTGTTGTCTTCTCCGCTGGGCCCACCCCACAGCCCCTGGTCAGAAGCACTTCCCAGCTCCCAGCTCCCAGCCCCCACCCCGCGGCACAGGGCATCTGCTCTGCGTGCTGCCAGGCTCCCGGCTCCTCTGTGCGCACCTCACAGGTACGGTCGTGTGGCCAGCACTGGCCAGGTCTGACGTGTGTGACGGATGGCAGAGGGGACAGGGCACACCCATGCGACAAAGTCACAGTGAGGCTCTCTAGGTTCTAACATCTCCCAGTGCTGAGAGGACGGGCTGGTGCCCACAGGGGCAAGGAGGAAAGGTTTCCAGGGCAGGCTCTGCTTGGACAAGGGCGGGCAGGGAGGACACACTCTCGGCCAGGGACACGGGCTCCCTTTGAGTGACAGGCCCTGTGCTGTCTTCTCTCCTGGGATGCTCTTGGCCACCCTATGAGAGAGGTACTAATTTGTCCCCATTTTACAGGTGAAAGACTGAAGCCAGAGAGGTTAAGAAACTTTCCATGCAGCTAAGCAGTGCTGGAGCTGGGAGACCAACCCAGCCTGTCCGTCAGCACTAAAGCCCGGGCTGGTCTGGGGCCAGCCTGTCCCTGGAGGCACTCACGCACAGACTCGGCCTCTGCAGCCAGCCCAGACTGCTGGAGGACACCACCGCCACTAGAGCCACCACCGCCCCTCGCTACTCCTGGCCCCTTTCTCTGGGTGCCTGGGCTCCTGGCCTCCCCATTGGGGGGTGGGGGCAGGCCGAGGCCCCCGAGGATCAGGAGAAGGAAGAGTGAACACACACTACCTGAACTTAAGGGACAGTAAGCTGGAGGAGCTGTCGGAGCGATCGTCCTCGAAGCGGCCTTCGTAGGAGCACTGGTTATACGGTAAGTACAGAGGGGTGGACTTAGCGGACGGCGACAGGGATGCCTCGGTCTGGGATGTGGAGGGCCCCGGCTGCTGGCTGTCCGGCAGTTTGCCATCACAGGACTCGGGGACCTTGGCCAGAATCCTATCAATGGCTAGGTAATAGGGCCAGTCAGGCGGGACGGACTCGCTATCTGTCATGCATTTTAATTTCCTGAAACGAGAGACACAAGAGCCAAGGGTGAGAAACAGAACTGGCCCCAGCCCCTGCCCTCCCGGCCCCTCAGCAGAGGGGCACTCCGGGGCTCTGGGACCCCAGGGACAGCCACGCTGGCACCGGCAGGGGGCACTCTCAGCCAGCACAGGCCTCCCACTAAAATCTGCCAGGTTGGGGTCAAGGTGACACTGGACTTAGAAGTCAGGCTTTGGGACATAGACAGCCTTATACGTTAAAAAGGAAGGTCATGCCCCAGATATTGATAAGGTTATCTATAAATGCTAGGATCTTGGGGCTGAAGACTCTCTGCAATGAATAAATATGCTTTTTAATAAATAATTTAATTCAAAAATTTAACTCAATAAAATTTTATAGTAAGATGTATAATATAAACATGGTGACAGAGTATTATAACAATCACGTTTTTCTAGAAAACACATCACAGGGAAAGCGAAGCACAGGGGTTCATGCTTCAGTGTCCAGGGTTCAGGCTTCAGTGTCCACAGTGAGTCTGTGTCTCGTCTCTACCATTTTGCTGAGTAACCTTGGGCAGATTCATCAACCTCTCTGAGCCTCCATTTTCACATCCCTAAAATGGGGAAGATCAAAGTAAGCCCCTCACATGGCTGTAGGGAAGGTTTAATGAAAGGACAGGCCACATGCTATCATGTCGAGAAATCTAAGAGAATGTATCGTCTGGGTCTTGGCACGACATTGCTTCTGTGACTCCTGTCATCCTAAGTAAGAGTCTAGACCCAGCAGTGGAATTCTGGGACATTCCAGGGCACAGGCTGAGCCAGATGGGCCCCCTCCAACGTGGGCCAGAGGTGTGCACAGTACATTTCTACCCATGGTAGGCCTGGCTCCACCCAGGCCCACCGCCCTACCCAAACCAAGAGGTAGGTCCTGCCTCGCTGAGAGGCCTCTCTGGGTCTCGGCTGTCCTCTAGGAGGTGAGGACTAGGGACAGGGCCCAGGGCAGCTGGGCAGCTCAGACCAGGTCAGAGAAGGGGCCACAAGGCAGGGCAGGAGGGGGAGTCTCTGTCCCATCAGACCCAGGACCTCCCCTACACTCCTACCAACGCTCTGACCAAGTAAGACCTTGGTGCTGCTCACCCTGGGACCAGGCACATCCTCAGAGCTGAGCATCCCATCTCCTGTGTGGGGTTCCCTGCCGGGGTACAGCTGCTGGTCACACTGGTCGGTGGAAATAACGAGCTGCTGTCTGAACAAGTCACACCCAGCAAACAGGCACAACCAGACGGCCAGGGAAGGGCTGCTGCTTGGAGTGGCCAGTGGTGGCCGACCACAGCAGGAGATACTGGCTGTGGGGTCAGCCCAAGGGCCCTCCCACGAGGGA